CCAAGCCATGGTATTTTCAATTGCCTCATATGCATGTGAAAGCTGAGTAATGAATAAGGAAGACCAAAGAAATGATGCATTTGAATTATACCGTTGGTGAAGAATATTAAATATACCATGGACTGCCAGAAGAACAAACAAATCTATCTTGCATGAAGAACAGACAGAATGCTCTTTAGAAGCAAGGATGGCAAAACTTCGCCTCTTATATTTTGGTCATATTCCCAGGAGGGACCAGTTCCTAGAGAAAGACATCATGCTTGGTAAAGTAGATGGTCAGCAAAAAAGTCAATCCTCAACAAGATGGATTGACACAGTGGCAGCAACAATGGATTCAATCATAGAAACAATTGTGAGGAAGGTGCAGGACTGGGAATTATTTTGTTCTGTTGTACATAGGGTCACTATGAGTTGGCGCTGACTCGACAGCCCCTAACAACAGCAACAACAACATAGAGATTTCTACAACATTTGGAACCTATTTCAGTGGCTTATTTTGAAGACTGACTGTATATAGAGAATTCAGCACTATGACTTAACAATGGTATGGATGCCCAACAAATTATAATTTCCTCTTCCTTTCCTTGAGTTTTTAGCTATTATTTTCTAAAATTTTCTCCCTCATATTTAACAACTTAATCCATTTTTGACCAACTATCTTTTCTGTCACTTTTATTATGACAGGCATGAAGAGATTCTTTAGATTTATTTTATGGTCAACTTTCCCTTATTACTGTGCATGTGTCTAACCCTGGTCACAGTTTTCTTTGCTACACTGAATATTTGTATTAGTTCTTTTAGCATTTACATTATTCGTACTTGTCATGTATCAACTAACCTCATCCCATAAAATGTGTTTTACCTAATCACAAATAAGCCAGGATGTTATTTATCTAAATAATAATTTTTTTTTTAGATGGCATTAGATAAGCTAGGCCTTAACTCCAAGCTCATAATTGTTCCAGGATAAAGCAGTAAATGTCTGTGAGTGTCAGTTTTTTCCTCTGTCAAAACAGTATCTCTAATACTTGAATTACTTGCCTCACATTGTTCTCAATATTGAATGAGTGATAAGTGTGTAAAAGTGCTTTGTTAGCTTACAGTCTGTCAGACTACAAGCCCTACAAAGTACGGCCATGTTCATTTCTCTATTCCCATCACTTGACTTAGTGCCTGACACACAGAAGAGGCTCAATAACTATTTGTAAAATCTAATTGAAATAAAGTGCATAGCACTACTTGATTTGTGAGCTCATAATATTCTTTTTCCAGGTAGTTTTTGGCCAGATGATCACAAAAATCTACCTTACAACTCCTGTAACTCTCTCCCAGCCAGCTGAGTGGCACAAATGATGAAGCATTTGACTACTAGCTGAAAGGTTGGCAGTTCAAGCCTACCCAGAAGCACCTTGTCAGACAAGCCTGGCAACCTGCTTCAGAAAAGTCACAGTCTTAAAAATCCTATGAGCAATTCTACTCTGCAACACAAGTGATCTCCATGACTCAAAACTGACTCAACAGCAATTAATGACAACAACTCTATCCTAATTTTCTAGAAGAGAAAGCAAGAGTGTGTTTTCTATTTCCCAAACTCAGGAATTTTGTCCTGGAGAATTGCTATTTAATATGTCCTTTGCAATGAGTTGGAAAATAGGATACGGAGCACACATATGGAATACTGGTCAATAGACTTGGATTTTCAGTGCTGGATCCAGTCAAAGATTTACTGAATACATTCAAAGGATCTGCTGTGTTCTCTGATTCTCACTGCCCTTATACGTTTCCACCCTACTCTCACTAAGAATAGTAGCAATAATAATACTAAAAGGCTTCCCATGGTCCACCTCTCTGTAGTTCAATAGCTTATATTGGTCATGATGTTGTTGTTGTGTGCTGTGAAAGCAATTCTGACTCATTGCAACACTATAGGAGAGAGAAGGACTGGTCCATATGGTTTTCCAGACTGTAAAATCTTTACAGAAACAGACTGCCACATCTTTCTACCACAGAACTGTTTGTGAGTTCTAACCATCAACCTTTCCAATAGTAGCCAAGTACTCATCCAATATACCACCAGGGCTCTTTAGACTGCCCTGGCCCTAAACATTTCCGCAAAGTAAATATTTTTCTCTCAACTGTTTATTATAGAGTCAATTATATGTGTGATAGAGACCAATATTTGGGGACTTCTAACTACTTAGTGGAAGATGGGGCAGTCTACTTCCATAGTGATACTGCCTCGGAAACCCAAGGAGGGGTCGCTATGAATCGAGTATCACTCGACGGCACATAACTACTACTACTACTTAGCTTAGACCTTTCAAATCCTCTGGCAAAATCAGTTAATGTAGGGGATGAGCAAATCCTTCCAACAGGCCAACTGGACAGTGATCAGCTGGCTGCTCCCAAGACAGAGTTCAAGAAAATGGACAGATGAAAGTGAAAAAACTCTGAAGACTGACACACAACACAATGTCTAGTAAGACTTGAAGCTTTATTTCAGCTAGAAAAAGGGGAGAAAAAACAGGTGTTTTGTTTTGTTTTACAAAAGGTTTAAACAATTACTTTGCTTTATCAGATAGTCAACAGAAGGACCCAGTCACCCTGGGTTTAGAAACAGGCTCTTTCCAAGCATGTATCATCCCAAATTTTAATTCAATTATAAAATCCTCTGCACAACTCCAGGGAGACCTGGTTCACGCATTCTATACACCTCAAAACTACAAACAACAGATTAAAAAAAAAAAAAAATCTGGCTCATGTTAAGGGAAAAAAAAATCTAACATATCAACTTGCATAGCCATTCAAATTATTGCTGTTTTTTATAAAATAATTATAGGTTGTCTTGGACAAAGTTCTTCCTTTCCAATCACCCCAAACTCAGGATTTCCTAGAAAATTTATATGCTATTTTCCAGCTGAAACCTTAGGGAGGGTTTGTAAGCACCACTATGAAGCCCAAGGAATTTGCATGAAAGGGAGAAATAAATTAAATAAATAATATCTGATAAATAACTCAGACAACATTCATTATCTACACACTTATATGTCAGACAACGCTAGCTTCAAGGATCAATCTTCCCGCAGCCCCTCACCTAGATAAATGTCTGTGTACACTCAAAAAACATACGAGATGGCTTTAAAAATCATTTTGCTTGCCTATTCCTCTAGGGCAGATCATGGTGTAGAAAATCACTTTGGTGGCTGGTGGGGTTTCAGATTTCTCTGTAAGGCTACATTCCAGTAGATTTACAAACCAATGGTACAAAATATATCAAGGTAAGTGCTGCCAGCAAAATAGAAAGAAGATAACTTCTTCTGAGAGGAGGTAACAATAAATAAGAGGGGTGAAATGATAATATAAAGAAATTGTTTGGCAGGATTTGGGGGCTAGCTGAGCTGTGGAAAATGAAATACTAATTTGGTTTATCAATTTTATTGATTGCTCCTATTGGTGTATCTATTGGTAATCCTCTCTGGCAGGAACAGAAAGTATGATCCACTATCATGCAAGCCATTTAGGCTCTTGAGTTTGTCTTAAGTAACTGTCCCAGCTACTTGAGCAGGACACTAAAATTTTTCATATCTTATTTCTCTGGAGAAAGACACATTTTTTTTTTACAAAATTAGTGCTAATACAGAGGAAAGAGAAGTTATATGAAGAAACATAAATATCCAACAGGTTGAGAAAAATCTGTAATGAAAATATAGACTGGTTTTCATTTCTGCATCCCTAAGTCTGGTCAATTAAAATGGGATCAACAATATGCAATAATATATTGTACCTAGGAGTGATGAAGAGGTAAGAATTAGTGGTGGGAATTGGAATTGCATGTATGATGGATAAATTCAATCTTGGTCATTACATTGATTGGTATTTGGCTTCTGGGTAATATGCTATTAGTGTGGACAGAGGTTAGTGGTTTCAATCATGTTTACTTTAACCAAATGAAATTCATCTTGCCAAGGGAAACCCAACAGTTTGCCCGTGGGACGGTGTGAGCTTGAGGGAGGCTCAAAACTACGAGTAGTTAGTGTGGCTAATAGCCATTTTATTGCTCTTGAATATGAACCTGTGTTTGCTGATTCCAAAAGCAGCACCTGAGCATCATCAGAATTTTCAGAGCCCTCTCATTGTGGAGGCCATGGAATGGTCTAGATGGCCTTTTGAGGTCCCACTGGTCAAAGAGGTCTGAGGTTTAAGTGGCATGCTTGCCCCACCTCTAGTTCTGAGAAAAGTGCCTTTGAAATATTATCAAGAATTAAGTTGTATGAGATCTTGCTTACAATTTTCAAATCACTGAGGAAGATATGTTCAGCTTTCAGCTCAATAGGAAATGGAGCTCATCTCTTAAAGAATGTGTTTTGTTACTTACAGTGACAGCCTAGTTACAATTTTAGCCTCTGGAGACAATTTTTAGTTAGATTTAAAAAGTCCTGTCATTCGGTCCAAATAAACTTTGCTTTCCAAAGCAAAGTTGGAGACAAGAGACATGCACTTTGTCTTCCCTTTGACTTTTCCATTTGATCATTCCATACATCGTGTCCATTTCCTATTATTGCTCAACTCTTTCAGTTTGGAATGATCCCCAAAGTCGTATTACTTCAGAGCTGTGAAAGACTTTAGAAATCATCTAGATTTAGAACAACTGCCTCATTTTACCAGTAAGTAAACAAACCAGGGATAGAAAATGAACTGACATGGATCATTCAGTGGGTTTTTGGCACCACTGAAATAGGACCCAGGTCTTCTGTTCTAATTCCACATGTTCTTAAGTCATCAAATAATTTCACTTAGGGATGCTGAATAAAGGAATCAATGCAATGTGAGAAGCTTATGAGAAAAGAGAATGGCAGGTATAGGAGGGTCTAAATGGACTAGTACTATAGTGTTTGATATCCATCTATAGGGTTTCTTTAAGGTCATTGAATTTGCAGCTCAACTATTTGAATTATGGGAAATGTCTCTATATTATCCTTAGAAATTCTGGTCTTACTGCCTTAATCGTTGAAGATGGTATTGAGTTGGGTCCCAATGCCAGGGTGGGGGTAGGAATCATAGGACATATCTATAGGAACATCATAGCGGGGGGTGGCAGCCTGAAAGGGAGTTGAATGAACTTGCCCTGAGCTTAGACGTGCAGAGGGGTAATGTGGCATGAAGCTGTAGGGTTTCTCCAGGTCAGGAGATCCATCTTGTTTTAAGGAGAAGTTCCCACTTATGCTCAGAGGTGGAGTGAGTGGGCCCTCATAAGGGGGTGTGCTACAGTCAGGTGGATGGCTTCCAAAGGATGACTCTCCCAAACTCTTGAATGCTGGAGGTTTGAGATGAATGAGATGTGTTTCCATATGACCATAAGGAGGACTGGGGAGTCCTGGAGACTGATAGTTGAAGTTCTGGACAGAGATGGCAGAGTCACAAATAGGAGATTTCTCCTCATGCTTCTCCAAGAGGGCAGACTGAGGACTCAGCTGGAGGCATCCAGCCACTAGGTTGCTTGTGGGCTGAGAGAGCCCTTTACAAAGCATCTCCACAAAGCCCTTCCCTTCAGGTGTCTGACCAGTCTCTAGGACCTCAGACAAAGCCCAAATATAGTTTCTGGCAAGTCTAAGAGTCTCTATCTTGGAAAGCTTTTGGGTTTTAGAGTAACATGGCATAACTCTTCTCAGGTTATCCAGTGCATCATTCAGGCCATGCATCCGGGTCCTTTCTCTGGCATTGGCTTTGACCCTTCGAGCCCTGAATCTCTCAAGTCGAGCTTTGGTCATCTTCTTTTTCTTGGGACCTCTTCTCTTAGGCTTCTCCCCATCCTCTTCCTCCTCTTCCTCCTCAAAACTGTCATGCTCTTCAGCTAAGCTACCAAGCATCCCGTAAGCAGCTGATCTTCTTTCCTCCTCCTTCTTCTCATTCTGAGAGCTCAGACCTTTGTCCATCCAGGGTGGTGTGTTGACCAGCTCCACCATTTCCTTGGGTTTCACATAAGTTTTTGCCATCGTCAGAATCTAAAAAGGGAAAATAGCAATAGTTAGTGCCTATGGACATCTGGTTACCTTTAGAACTAAACTTTCATTTTATACTTTGGCTATAGGGCACAAAATCTATATTGGAATTCAACTTACAATCATCTAGTCTAAGCCCTTCATTATAAGGGACATTTTCAATACTCAAAGAAATGCCCAAGAAACTAATCTAATTATGGTATGTTACAAGAAAATCAACTACAAGAAATAGAAATTGATTTGATTATTCATGGCAGTGCCAGTGCCTAATTCTTTTTACTCTTAGGGTTTTTCACTCATGTATATTCTATATATATATATATATTTAAAAAACAGCAACTTGTATAGGAGTCCAAATGTATAATTTTTTCTTTCAGAACATAATGGGAAATAGATAAAGTAGCCATATAAATCATTGTCTAAATAAAGAAATTTAAAAAGCAAAAGAGGGCCTAAAATAATTTTAATTATAAAATGTTAACATAATTATAATATTGTAAAACTAAAAACATATCAAACAATAGAATGAGTAAACTGTTGTATGTCTGCGCAAGAAATAAAAGGCTGTAGCAAAAGAATTCAGACTTTGTCTGTGTTCCACAAAGGATGGCTCAGCCTCTATGTTATCATCATTGTTGTTGTTGTTGTTATGTGCCATCAAGTTGAAACCAACTCATAGGGACCCCTCCTTGGGTTTCCGAGGCAGTATCACTATGGAAGTAGATTGCCCCATCTTCCTTCTGAAGAGTGGCTGATGGGTTTGAACCGCCAGCCTTCTGGTTAGCAGTCAAGTGCCTTAGGCACTATGCTGCCAGAGCTCCCATTCATTAGGAGAGCATTTTATCTGCAAGTACCTTGTGTGCTATATATGAAAGGGAGATGTTAGTGACACGATGTTTGGAAAGGATCAGGAAAAGAGGACAGTTATCACTGATTATCCTTCAGATTTATTCATGTGTTAAAGTGAGAATTCTTCATTGCACATGCATCTCACACCATCAGACAAGACCATGGCAGCAGCTAGAAATAAAAGCCAGAGTTCTACCAAATCAATCAAAGTTTATTTTAGTGCAACTATTAGAATAATATTTCGTTAAAAATGAAAGTCTGGAACAAATGCTTAATGGAACTGAATATACTGACAGCAAACATACCAGATGCTCTAGAATAAATTCTGGCTCATAGCGCCCCATGTATGTCAGAGTGGAACTGTTTCATAGGGTTTTCAACGGCTGATTTTTCAGAACTGAATCACCAGGCCATTCTTCCAAGGCATCTGTGAGTGGATTTGAACCTTCAACTTTTCCATTAGCAGCTGAGGTCATTAACAATTTGCATCACCCAGGGAGTCCAGGTAAAAATAGCCTTTAATTCACTTTATAATTCATTTTAAAACTTTAATTTACTTCCCTAACTGTTATATTTCATTGAACCAGAATTTTCCATGCAAAATTTGCTATTTGAAAACCATAAGAGGCTGGAGGTTTAATGTGCATTTTAGACTTAATTCTGAAAGAGTTTGAATTGTTTTTGAGATTTGTTGAGAGATTTGTACATATACAATTTACCAAATGAAAGTATCTGATAAGCTCCATTGGGGCACCCTCACTTACCAGCTAGTCTTCAAAATGTTCAAAATGTTAAACCCTCCATTACCTTTGTAAGTCAGAAATGGGAGAACATGATAAATGTTTGTTGATCCCTGAAGCTTGAGTCTCACCTCAAATCAATGAACGCAGAGCTTAGTACATAGCCTTTAAAAAATATAAATAAATGATCTGATTTGTTTCTGGTAATCGGAGCTTGTTTTCCTTGTAACCTCATTTACCTCCTATAAATAATTAATGTTACTGCATTGCAAAAACAGCCTAGGTTTCATGTTAATCAGCACAGAAATCATGTCAGCTTGACTTACTCACTTAATAAGGCTTCCTGGCCAAGCAGCTTTATTGAAAACACACGTTGGAACCTATTGGTCAACTGGCTGCTCAGGCCAAGTCAGAAAATCCCGCTTTTAATATGGATGATGGAGCTTGTGTGCTGAGCTGCACTTCTAACTCAGGCAGATATCCAGAGGGAGGGCAAAGGACCTAATTAACTTTCTGTTAAAGTAACACAGACCTTTCACAGGCAGGTGCATGCTGAGGCCAAAGAGGATGGAGTAGGCTTGGGAATCATAATGCTCCCCATGTAATTATAATAACATTTGTGTAGTACTTTAAAGTTTACAGAGCACTTTTGCATCCCATTAACTCATACTTTCCTTATAGCAAAGCTTTGAGGGGTATAGGGATTGTTTTATACTTGAGGTCATCGTGGGTCAGGGAGGCTAACCAATGACATGCAAGAACCGGTGAAGCCAGGACATAAGCCCAAGTCTTTTGGTTCCAAATCCTGAGTTTATTTTTTTCTCCTTTCTTTGTTTGTGCGAACCTACAAGAAGAACGAGGGGAACTTTGACCTCAGAAGATATGGCAGTAGAGCTAAGTCAGGAGGAAGTGATGATCACCCAAAGGGGCCTAGTTTAAATGTTCTATGAGGTCCTATTTAACTCTTGTATTACAGGATTATTTCCTCCTCATTTTTTTTCTTGATGCCGTCACCCATTTAAAACTGCTTCTTCTATTTCTTCACATGCCCCTCCTCCTTTTTCTCTTCCTCCTCTTCTTCTCATCTCTTAATCATTATCATTATCGTTACCACATGTATGAAGAGGAAAGAAGGAAGATGCAAAAAATGAAAGGTGAGGCTCCTGAATTGCCCCTGAATCTGAATGTGGTCTTAGTTTAGATGTTTGGCCTTCTTCACTGCCCCCTCCTTCGTACTTCTGGACCCTGTCAAGCCTCTACTCCACCAAGAAGTTGGGTTGGAGAATAAAATAAACCACATTTACTGTTAACATAGTTTGATGTTTTCTGTAAGCATCTAGGAGCTGCCTTCAAATCAGATAGTTTGCAGATATGAAAGAAAAGAACCAACTGATTTTGGTCATAACAATGAAAAGTGCAACAAGTTTTCATCTTTGTTTTTTCAGTAATGGTAGGAAAGACCTCAATGACTCCAGTTTAGCTTCCTCTGTTCCCATAGATACTGGTCCATTAGTTCTAAGAGAATCCCATGGGTATATAGTGTGGTTTCAATAGCATGAAAGTTAGAATGAGTCTGATGTTAAGTCTCACTCCTATAATTCCTGGTTGTTGACCTCAAAAACATTATGTAAACTCTCTGATCTTTGACAAAATAGAAATAGGTTGTTGACCTCAAAAACATTATGTAAACTCTCTGATCTTTGACAAAATAGAAATAAGATACATTTGACATCACTCTATAATACAAGTAAAATTATGAGAAATGGTTATATAAACTAAAATCACTACAAACATTTAGTTTATTCTTGAGTTTTTTTTATTTAACCTCATTTACATATTTGCTTATTTAAAAGTAGAAATTCTTTTTCACAAGTGTATCATGAAAATGGGGAGCTCTGGTAGCATAGTGGCTAAGACACTTGCCTGCTAACCAGACGGCTGGTGGTTCAAACCCACCAGCCACTCATCGGAAGGAAGGTTGGGCAATCCTACTTCCGTAGTGATACTGCCTCGGAAACCCAAGGAGGGGTCGCTATGAGTCGGGTTTGACTTGACGGCACATAACAACAACAACAACAACATCATGAAAATGGTTGTTTTGTCACATGTCATTGAGTGGGTTTTGATTCATAGTGACCCCATGTACAACAGAATGAAACTGGTTCTCCACCATCCTCACAGTCATTGCCATGTTTGAGCCCATTGTTACAGCCACTTTGTCAATCCATCTCACTGAGTGCCTTCCCCATTTTCACTGACACTAAATTTTATCAAGCATGATATCCTTCTCCAGGAACTGGTCCCTCCTGGTAGCATGACCAACGTATGAGAGACTAAGTCTGGCCATTCTTGCTTCTAAGGAGCATTCAGGCTGTACTTCTTCCAAGACAGATTTGTTCATTCTTATGGCCGTTCTGGGTATATTCAATATTCTTCACCAACACCATAATTCAAATGCATTAATTCTTCTTCTTACTTCCTTATTCATTGTCCATCTTTCATATGCATATGAGGCTTTTGAAAAGGCAATGGCTTAGGTCAGGCACACCTTAATCTTAAAAGTGACATCTTTGCTCTTCAGCACTTTAAAGAAGTCTTTTGTAGCAGATTTGCTCAGTGCAACATGTGGTTTGACTTCTTGACTGCTGCTTCCATGGGCATTGATTATGGATCCAAAGAAAATGAAATCCTTGACAATTTCAATTCTCCTTTTATCATGTTTCTTATTGGTCCAGTTGTGAGAATTTTTGTTTTCATTTTGTTGAGGAGTAATCCATACTGAAGGCTATAGTCTTTGACCTTCATCAGTAAACTCTTCAAGTCTTCAACACTTTTAGCAAGCAAGGTTACGTTATCTGCATATAGCAGGTTGTTAATGAGTCTTCCTCCGATCCTGATGTCACCTTCTTCTTCATATTGTCCAGCTTCTCAGATTACTTGCTGAGCATACAGATTGAATAAGGATGGTGAAATGATAAAACCCTGACACACACCTTCATGATTTTAAACCATGCAATATCCCCTTGATCTGCCTCTTGGTCTATGTACAGGTTCTTCATGAGCACAATTAAGTGTTCTGGAATTCTCATTCTTCAGTGTAATTTATTATGACCCACACAGTTGAATGCCTTTGCCTAGTCAATAGAACACAGGTAAACATTGTTAGGTATTCTTTACTTTCAGCCAAGATCCATCTGACATCAGCAATGATGGCCTTCATTCCATGTCCTCTTCTGAATTTGGCTTGAGTTTCTTACAGTTTTCTATCTCAGTACTGCTGCACCCATTTTTTAATTATTTTCAGCAAAATTTTATTTCCATGTGATTTTAATGATATTGTTTGATAATTTCTGCATTCTTTTGGATTACCTTTCTTCGGAATGACCATAAATATGGATCTCCTCCAGT